TGCCCCATTGCTGGTGTCAGTGGGAGGAATAGTGCCCCATTGTTGGTGTCAGAGGAGGAATATTGCCCCATCATTGGTGTCAGTGGGAGGAATAGTGCCCCATTGTTGGTGTCAGTAGAGGGAATAGTGCCACATTGTTGGTGTCAGTGGGAGAAATAGTGCCCCATTGCTGGTGTCAGAGGAGGAATAGTGCCCCATTGTTGGTGTCAGTGGGAGGAATATTGCCCCATTGTTGGTGTCAGTGGGAGGAATAGTACCCCATTGTTGGTGTCAGTGGGAGGAATACTGCCCCATTGTTGGTGTCAGTGGGAGGAATAGTGCCCCATTGTTGGTGTCAGAGGAGGAATACTGCCCCATTGTTGGCATCAGTGGGAGGAATAGTACCCCATTGTTGGTGTCAGTGGGAGGAATAGTGACCCATTGTTGGTGTCAGAGGAGGAATACTGCCCCATTGTTGGCACCAGTGGGAGGAATAGTGCTCCATCATTGGTTTTGTGGGGAGGGATTTTGCCTCATAGGCCAGTTAAATGCAAGCAAAGAGCCCAGGAGCTGCAGTTTGGGGGACAACCGATGTAAAGCAATAGACTATATTAGTATAATGCGGCTACATTGTGGCTGATCTTCTTACACGTTTCTCATCTCTTTATACATCTTACTTCTTCACAGGCCCCCTGCAGGGAATAGCGAGCTCTTATAGTTTTACATTGCCTCAAAACTTTGAAATAAAAACCTCTGAAATGGAACCAGAAACATAACATCACAAACCCCACAGAGGGAGATCCGTAAAATTCACACATGATGGAAACATCCAACCTTCAAAATTTCTTTTCATTTTCATGTATATGTATTTTATGGAATCTGTGATTAACCTTCTTGCATCCTTTTGTCATTCTCAGTGCTGCTGATCTCCTGCAGCATCACATATGTCCGTTACCTAGGGCGGTCTGCATGCAAATACAGCCTGCCTGGGAACGCCCACTCCTCTAGACTGACATCAACCCATCAAGGCATTTTGATATTTGCATAAGTCCTCCTAAGAGCCAGCCCACTGCTTGCATCAAGGCTGAGGAAGACTAGCACCTTGATGATGGAGGAAGAGGAACCAGGGAAGGCAGAATATAAGCAGATTACGTTGAACTTAAAGGAGAACAATGAGGGGGTGATTTTCTCTCATCCTCATAGTTCTAGCCGACCAGTGACAATGAAACTGTCACAGGTCGGCTCAATAGATCGGGAAGTGAGCGAACACATGCCGTCGCTCGCTCACTTCTCGATCCTGTCCCTGCAGAGAGCCGTGGCTGTCACTCACGGCTCCCTGCAGGGATTCCCCCCCCTCTAAGATCCTCCAGCACTGACTGGCGGAACGGACGGGAGAGTGTGCGGGTACAGCTGGCTCTGCATCTAGATAGGCAGAGCCAGTTGTCACTCACGCAGCTGGGCGGATCCAGACAGTAATGTCGGGATCCGTCCCGGCTGCGGTGGTCTCAGTATATAGAGAGCTGTAGCTTGCGGTATACTGAGCTTTGGGTGACAGGAGGACGCGAGTTTGTGTCCTCCCGTTACCCTTAGGAGAACTATGGGGAAAAGCCCTGACCCCATAGTTCTCCTTTAAGGCTTGTTTTCCTGGTTCAGCTTTGACATTGTATGGAGGATGAAAGAGGTAATGCACAGAGCTTAAACTTTGAATGTGTGTTGACTTATCCAGGGCCTCAGGAGACAACATGAAGGGATTTTATATCTCCGATAAGGGGTTACACCTTGTTAGGTGCAGCCTATACTATAAGAGGCGAGATAACAGTCCTTCCATTTTCCCGGCAATGTTTTTGCTTTTACCCTGCCCCCACCATTGTACACTCCTCTGTCTCCTTGCAGTGAAAGGTTCGGCACAAACCTAGATTAATTGCCTGATGGAGGAACACGGAAAAAAAAAGTGGGAACAATCTTGTAAAACTGACTCCTGGGTTCAATTACAACTTTGTCCGGATGTGAAGGTTCTGCAGTGCACAAGGAGAATTGACTCCTAACAAAGATTAATATCTTAAGTAAGGACGAGAGCGGGCCGTTCATCACCCGAGCTCTCTACTACTCTAACGTGGTCAATAATGTCCATTAAAAGTGAACATTGTCGACACTTCTATGAAGATCTTCAGAATAAGTGTCACCTTCCCGGAAAATGGCTCATTGCTGCTTGGACAACGTATACATTATATACATTGCCAGGTACAATATCACTCCCTGGAGGGCGTCTAATTCCAATAACACAAATGCCATACATAGAAGCGTTCACTCATCATACTTTATCTATGGGGGAGCAGCATTGTCCCTTGTTGAATGTTTGGTGAATGTCAGATTTACTGCTTTACAAATACTGTATGCCCCTTAGTGTCTTATACAGACTTCTTGTTTGGAGAAGACTGATGTGTATGTTACATTTCAAAAGAAGATTTCAGCTCTGCCTTCTATCAGCATACTCGCACATGGTGTACAGTCATATTGTGGTCTTTCCAGATACTCTACACAAAGTGAATGAAATCACACACATATCCTGTCATGCTACAGAAGTACAGACGGCATAGCTGGCTGTCCCCAATACAATCTGTTCTTCAGGTGCTTCTTCTTTGTGGGAGATGGTGGGCCACTAAAAAGAGACACACGTCCATTGAGTTCAATCATAACTCAAAAGAATTGTTGTTTCATATACAGTATATTAATGGTCAGAGGAGGGTTTCCCGGAACCTGCAACTCCCCTAAATTTTCCCATCAAAATCAACTATCAGCTATCAGTGCCTCCACTCATGCCAAGGTGCTTGTTGTAATCCTCGACTCTGACGTCTACTTGAGGCCCCACATCCAATCATTGTCCAAATTTTGTCACCTTCACCTCCGTAAAACATTTCCGAAATACTCTTCCTCTTAACCAATGATACCACCAAAATGCTATTTTACCCCCTTGTTACCTTTCACCATGACTACCGCAACTCTCTCCTCATTGGGTGACCTCTACACAGACAATCCACCCTTCAGACTATCATGAATGCTGCTGCCAGACTCATCCACTTCAAGAACCATTCAGTGTCTGCATCCCCTTTCTGCCAATCCCTCCACTGGCTTCCACCCCCACCTCTCTCTGCCAATCCCTCCACTGGCTTCCACCCCCCCATGTCTCTGTGCCAATCCCTCTATTG